TAATTCATATTTTCAAGGCCAACAACCTCCTCCAGCACCTTAGAATTTGTTTCTGTTTTTTGGTCAAAATAATTATGTTCTTATGTTTAAAACTATGTGGTTGTTCTTATGTTTAAAACTATGTGGTTATGTTGCTTTTATGTCAAGTTTGCTACTATATGACTGTGCGTTAAGATTGATATTATGAAAAGTTTGCTATTATGTGTTAAGTTTGCTACTATTTTTGTTAGTTAATATAACTGCTATATATTTTAAACAGATAATGGTGATGAACATTATGGAACTTGTGGTCTTTATGGCAAGTCTTTGCCTACCAATATGGATGGGTGAAGTTATGGACTATGTTCATAACCTAGATGATTTGTTTGAAGTATTAGCTCATGTTGAAGAAATTATGTTATGTTTAGGTTCTTCTTTTTGTTGATAACAAAGGGGGAGAAATAGTTAAGTTTTATATTATTTATTATGTATGTTAAAAAACTTTGCATATATGCAGGGGGAGTAAGTATTACATGTGTTAAGCTTTAATATGATGCATAAATTATTTGTTATCATCAAAAAGGGGGAGAATGTTGAATATCATTTCTCCATGATAATGTTTTGATGATAACAATTTATATTTTGTGTGCACTAACTTTCATATGCAGATTTCAATATCAGAATATGTACAAGTGCAAGTGAATATCAAGGCATTTTGAAGTGAAGAAAATGAAGAACAAAAGATAATGTATTTGAATTTTTCTTTGCTTAGAATATTTGTACAAGCCTTGATCACACACACGCACACACACACATTTTTAGAATACACTAACACAGGCTTAGTGTGTTGGTTAACTATAGAAATCCCCTATGTTAACCATTAGAATAATAGTTAAAACTTAATTATAAAAACTCATTATTTCTGAATTTTTGATCTTAATAGTCGACTAATTAGGATAGTAGTCGATTACTCATGTATATAACTCAAATACAAGTTTCTGTCTTTTTACAGTATAGTCGACTAATAGAGATTATAGTCGACTACTGAGATGTTTGACAGAAACATAAGTTTCTGTCTTTTTACAGTGTAGTCGACTAATGACTACAGTAGTCGACTACTGAAGAAAAATATAAATTTTCAAGTTTCTGTCTGAACTCAGTGTAGTCGACTAATTATCATTATAGTCGACTACTGAGAACATTTTCCGAAAACACAGAGTCTGTCTGAACTCAGTGTAGTCGACTAATGACTACAGTAGTCGACTACAAGAGACAGTTTTTCAGTTTTCAGAATTTGAATATCTGACAGTTTTTGGCCGTTTTTAAACGTTTTCAAACTTTAAAAACTTGTCTTTTCAAGGGGTATATATAGGTTATTTGTTCAGAAAAATTGGAGACATATACATACCCATAAGCTTTGATTCTTGAGCAATTTTCCAAGTGAAAAACATTCTGATTTTCTGAAAAAGAAGAGTTTCTGAAATTGCCTATATACTTTCATCAAAAACAAATCAATTAGGCAATTTTACAGAGATTAAAAGAATCCTAAGCCACTGCTGCACATTATTACACATTCAAGGCTTATAGGATCATTGTGTTCTTCTTCAACAAGTTTTCTCTCGGTTGTGAGAGGGTTAGTCTCTTGGGTTAGAGATTGGTGTTCAAATTGATAAGGAGTTTGTCAATTGGTGTTGCAATTTGCAGGGACTTGCAAATTGGTCAGGTTTGCATTTGATTTTGTAAGTTTATTCAAAATCATAGTGAAAACTCTCAAGCGGGATTTGCTTGGGGACTGGATGTACACCAGTTTGGTGGAACCAGTATAAAATCCTTGTGTTTGTGTTTGCAAATTTCTGAGATTGCCATTTTTTCTTTTCAATTTATTATCTACTTTGCAATAATTTTAAAAGAACACTATTCACCCCCCCTCTAGTGTTCAAGTGTATCTATTTCAGATCCTACAGAAACTCCAGAATTGCATCTTAATAATATTGACCCAGAAATTGTTGCTTCAGAGGTTGTGAAGGATGATTGGATGAATGATGGTAGTGAAGATAATTTGATAAATGATGATACTGAAGAAGAAGATGATCCGGAAGATGGTGATGAAGAACCAATCATTTCAAGTGATGATGAGGATAGTGATTAGTTTATATCATAATTTTAATGTTCTTTTTTTGATTTGTGCGGGATGTTTTAGTTTGACATAATTTGGTAAATGTAGCTATAATTTTACTGTTATTTTTTCTTGATGCTGCGATTACGTTGCAAGATTAAGAGGGGGATGCTTGAATTAGTAGTAAAATCTCCTTCCTTCTGTTTGTTATTTGTTGAAAGTGGTTTAGTAGCTATAATTGTAAGTAGTTTTTGAATCCATGTCGTGAGGATATTTCCAATAAGTTTGGATGCTACTTGTCCAGCCTTTTCTTCTATTTCTCCAGTTTCAGATATTACATGTATTCCCCAGCTTATTGTTAGAGTATTTAACCCTTCCATATCCATGTCGCAGTTGCATGCTTGTTGCCACATTTGCCTTTTCATATGGTATATTGTGTTCTTTATGGCTTTGTTAGTCCCAGTTTCCTCTCTATGTCCATTTCCCATTTTCATAGGAGCTCTGTAATGTTACAATGGTTTTAGGATATATCATCCATATTCCCTTTCGTATGTCTGTTCATATGGTATATTCTATTCATAAGCATATTATTTGGTTAACAATGTATGTTTCAATCTTAACACTGTCTCTCACGCAAACCACATGATGGAGAGAGCTCCCACTGCAAGTTAACTCACTACACATGGGAAAATAAATGTTGATGTGCAAATTGTTTTGAATTGCCAACGTCAAACTTGTTAACTCACTACACATGGGAAAATAAATGTTGATGTGCAAATTGTTTTGAATTGCCAACGTCAAACTTTGAACCTAATGCCTTCTCAAAACTAGTGCCATAAAATGTTCCCGCAATGACACTAAAAGTTAGAAGTCGTGATGAGCAATGAGGTCCTTGCAACGTTTTTTGCATTATGTTCTTTATCTTTGAATTTATTTTACTTTCTTGCAATAAACAAAATGGTTTTTTTGCTCTTTTCTGATAGTATCAAGCACATACCACATATAGCAAGGTTTTCTTCTATCATATATACTTCTGATCTAATTTTCATATCTTGGTATTATTATCAGCCACCATTAATTTCTACTCAAGAAAGTTCATTACAATCTTTATATATGCCCCAATTTTCGAAATGTTTTTGATTTGTTGATATGATACTGTTTCGATTCACTTAGGTAATCTGGTTCCACTCTGGTTCTTCCCACCTGCATATTCAAATATATCAGATTTTGTAGCCTTTGTTGCAATACTATGATTTTTTCACAAAACTTAGGTGATCTAGCTCTGCCCTGGTTCTTCTTACCTGCATATTCAAATCCATTGACTTTTGTAGCTTTGTTGCAAAATTATGACAATTTTGATGGTTTATCTTTTATTTTTCATTCCTTCAATGGGTATTAGAAAAAGTGTAATACTTAGTGAACTTTAGGAAATGGAACACCATGAGTGATTTGAGTTTATAATGACATACTTTCTAGGATTATAATTGAATTCTGACCTATTTAACTTAATTCCAGGAATTAATGGTGTCATGTGCGACTTAAGGAAAAAGTTAAAAAGTTCCTGCATTTTGTTACTCGTGATCCTTCTGTGGTTTGATCACGAAAACAATAGGACTAGGAAGTGGTGATGTTGTACTGGACATAAGACTGTAAGCAAGGTCAAGCATTTGGTGAGATAACTGCTACTGGTTGAGCCCTTAGCTTAGTTTTATTTGAAGAAAAATTTGAGCATTCTGTCCTTTCAGATGTTGCTGGAAATGAACTGATCTTTATCCAGGCATAATATATATGGAAAATTAAGTCAGAGAGCTTGCTTCTATCATTCACCATTTTCTCAGAACTCAAGCAAGTACAAACATTTATATTAGATATTCCAAATGGATAAATGTGGTCCAAGTATTGACTCATTGCAATCATAAAACCAGATTATTTTTCCTAGTACATTGAAATGATATCATTTTTATACCGTTTCATTAACTTTACATTCTAGACTTTGTATGCTGCTTATGTTCGTACTTGGTAGCTTGGTGTAGAACTACAGTCGCATTCTGGCGAATTTTTATTTTTGTTTATGGTGCCATATGAATCTCACCAGTTAGATGTTATTATTTTTTAGGGAAAAGTATGTATATTGTATTTGACATATTGTGCAAAGCTCTATTCATAATTACAGCAGTGATGGAAGCTTTCATAGCTTTGTGTCATTGTTGCGCATTATGTCTTGTTACTAGCTGTTCACTGTGCTAGTGTTGAAGACATTTTCTCTTTCCTAATAATATTAGCTGTCCAGAATTCTCTTTTTTCTTGTGATGCACTTTAGCTTATAAACGTCACAGATTGCAGATGTATGGTCCTGTGGAGTTACTCTATATGTCATGTTAGTGGGTGCATATCCATTTGAGGACCCTGAAGAACCTAGGAATTTTCGCAAGACAATATAGGTTAGATTTTATCTTCTCGTCATATGAGCCATTGTTAGATCAATTTGATTAATTGTCTATTTTTACAGCGCATATTAGGGGTGCAATATTCTGTTCCTGATTATGTTCACATATCTGAGGAGTGCCAGCATCTGATCTCAAGAATTTTTGTTGGCAATCCTGCTGAGGTATGTAGTTGGTGTTTTAAGAATCACTTACCTTGGTTTCCTGTATTCACATAAATTACATCTCCTTATTGCTGAGTTGCCTTTGCTTATTGTTTGAGAACACAATCATCTGCCAATTTGTATGATTGAAATAATTATGTCTTCTTTTTTCTCATGACATGATAGTTTTAGTAGAATACCTTGCATGAAGGAAAATGTTGTGTAGGGATTTTAAGGCACATATATAACTATATATTACTAGCATTGCTGCATGTGCGTGTGCATATGCACGTGCGAAGACATAATTTATTTTTTAACAAATTGTCATTAGTGAAAATGATTTCCACAAATCAAGTTTCCATTCAGCAGTGGATATCAGTAAAATTTTCATGTAACTGTGATCATCTGGTTCGTAGTTCTATGGTCTTTTCCATCTCTTTCCTCTTTCTCCCTCCAACATCAGTACAACTCAACATTCTCATTATTCAGTTTTTCCACCTAAGTTCACCTATGTTTTCTATACTGTCCTTCCATGTCTGTTTTGGTTCTTTAATCTAATATTTTTCTCTGATGCAAGTTTCTGCCTTCACAGGCACTTATAGACAACAATATATAGTCTATGTTTTTACATTGAAGTTAAACATACTGTAGCCAGACACTCATGGTGTGTGGAGTTTGCAAGGCCTCTACCGGTAAAGGACTCGGCCCTCTGCTAGTTGGAAAAGGAAGGGATCAATTTTTTAACTAGTGTTATTATAATCCATGTGGATTATGAACTAGAAAATGAAGGAAAAGCTAAATAAACTACTGTGTGTCATAATGCTCAGCTAAATAAATTCCAGAGGAACAAGAATCTAATCATATAAGTCCGAACAATAAGAATAAATAGTAAAGAAAAAAATTATACATATCATCTAAGCATATAAACAAGTGAAGTCTCTAAAATACCTCCCAGAGATACTATTCTCGCGTAGTGCAAATGCACATCTGATAGAATGGGACTCAAAACAGGCAAGTTCTGGTTCTCGTTCCTCTGAAAGTCCGGTTTAAGGTTTTCATTCTGCACCTCTTGTGGTTGAGCTTCATCGTTATTGCATATTCCCTATGAGCTCCAATTTCTCCAACAATGAACAATTTGATCAATTTAATTTATCCAAAGTTTGAGTTGCTAGTTTCTATTTTCACAATTTTCTCAAACTGTTGGTGAGGAACGGTAAATGTTAGGTGTTGCATAGTCACAGCTGTGGAGTAGAAGATGAGCTGTGTCTCTATAGACAGCTTCATAGAGGACACGCCTATTTGACTCCAATTAATCATCTTTTTGCTAACCATTTGTGCACAGCTGTTCCACAAAACTCAGCTGTTCATTAAACATTTATAAAATCACGCCTATTTGGTCTTCATATAATCACATTGAAAGCAGATAAGGCATTTCTGAAGATGTAATTAAAAGTTCCACGTACCTGATTATCAGTAGCCCTACCAGAAAAAGATACAATTATTAGCAAGAATAGCAGAAAAAATTTCTTTGAGACTCATATAAACATGGTAATGATTCAAATAGATGAATGTTACATTCTTTTGCATTTTGACCATTCTAATTGTCTGATAATAAACAGTGAGAAGATGTACCGTAACAAAACGCCTACCGTTCAGAGTTCTACTTCTGGTAAGTAGTGCGTATTTCTCTTATAATTCATGATTCATTCACTTGGCTGATTAGAATATTATTATCAATTTAACGTTTATGTAACAACAGGTAATGTACCAAGTAATCAATCACATGCAGAATTATTGAAAAAGAAACGTTCTCATGCAGCAACTAGTTATCTACCATACGTGAATTCTACAGGGAATGGATCCGGTTCTAATCCGAGTAAATATGCAATCTTCATTTTACTGCTAGAATATTTAAGTACTGTTAGTTTTTACTTATCTAACAAGTGTGTATGCTAATAGGTACAAAACGTACTCGTCTGCAAACTTCCAATCAAGAATGCCAAAATTCTGTAGCAGATGGACTGAATTCTAGTAGTACTGTTGTCACCACAGAACGAACTACTACTGGTAAGTGGTGTTGAATTGAGCTGAATTCAGTTGAATTGAGCAGAATTGAATTATTTTCCTCTAAAAGGTGTAGAGAAGCTGAATTGAATTTCATTTTCATCAATTGTAAATTACAAGGGTATACCTAAACTACAAACTCGAATGACATGGATTAGAGTTAGTGCACGTCTTCAGCAACAAAGTGTTAATGATCAGCCAGTGGTAAACACCATAGTTGAAGAGCGAGATGATAATGTGATGTCAGATATTAATCAGGAGCCTCCTTCAGGTATACAAAACATTATATACAAATATTTTGAGAATTAAATATACGTATGTGTTATGTTCGTAATAAAAATTATGTCAAATGTACAACCAAAAAGGTGCGAGGGAAGACAAGAGGAGTGAATGCAGATAAGGTGTTCTCCCAATCGAATTCTAAAATACCTATGATTCTGACTGAAGAAAATGGCAGACCTACGGGCCCTTATGCTGAGATGTTTGCAAATGAAATTGGTTACACAATTCGAAACTACGCCCCACTGAATGTGAAAAAATGGAAGAAGATTGAAAAAGCAGATGTGGAGAACTTGATCAAAAGAATGCAGGTTAGTGATGATTTGTTTTGCTAAAGGCATTATATTGGTTGCTTTGATTTGTTATATTTAGTTTGACATGAAATTATGCCTGTGCAGAATAAATTTGAATTTGATATGTCGCTCCCTTGGGTCCAGAGATATGTAATTACAACATGTCAGACCGTATATTGTAATTTTCGTTATAAGTTAAAGAAACATTTTGAGCAGTTTTTAACAATTGAGGAGGCAATTCAAAACAAACATGAAGCTGTCAAGACTCAGGAAGAATGGGAGTTTCTTTGCACTCATTTTTCTAGTAAAAAGTTTAAGGTACAATATCTTTTTTATTTTTCTCCACGCATTACTTTTTTTCTTTTTTCATTTACTTCTTTCTAATTGTATATCTTAATAATTTTAGATTCGTTCAGAGAAGAATGTTCTTAATAGGTCAAAGTTGACATATCATCACAAAGCTGGGTCAAAATCATTTATGTCACACCAAGAGCAAATTGTAAGACACTTTTTAGTTTTGCTTATAAATTTATAACTTAATTGTGTACATATATATATGCTAAAAATGAAAACATGTTTGAATGCAATAGGCAACACAGACTGGAGAGATGCAAGGTGCAATTGATTGTTTTGAAATAGAGTATAGAAGTACAAAAAAAGGATGGGACTTAGGAGCAAAGGAAAAATGGGTACGTAATGTGTCAATGATGCATGCTTTTATAATATTTTAAAAATATAGGTGAAACTGATATTACTGTTCTAAAGAGGATTATATTGATTAGGTTGTAATTAAGAAGTTGCATATGATTGAACTGGATATATATTTTTTTACTTATAGGATCAAATGATAAAGATGCGAGCAGATACCACTCAACCTGATGGAACTCGAACAATGACAGATGAGGAAATTTGTGCAAAAGTTCTCAAAGTCAAATCAGGTTACATTAAGAGCTGTGGTTTTGGCCCTAAACCACCACCATTAAGGTTCTCTCGTTCTTCAATGAGTGAAATGTCTGAAAAGAATAAAGAGTTGCAAGAACAGCTTCAAGAGACCCAACAACTTGTAGGAACTCAACAACAGAAGATCGATGCGCAAAATGAGGTAATCCAAAGATTGGAGGAGCAAGCCAAAAAGTTTGAGGAGTTTATGGCTAATTTTTCGAGGCAACATCCATCAGCTTAGTATTCTTAGTGAACTTAAACTTGGAGAAATGTTTCTTTGATCGTGTTGCATTTGTTATTGCTTTAAACTAGCATTGTTACTTATGGTAGAAACTTGCTTGCTTTATTTATTTTAATTGTTTTGATGTACTGTGGTGACAATTGATGACAATTATTTATATTTTGAGCGTTTTTCTTGTAATAGCATTATTATTGATGAAATAAAATTTCCTCATTATAAGTTTTCTCGCTATATATTTAGGTCGATGAAAGTAAATTTCCTCGAAATAGACCCTACAACTTAAGGTGAAGAAAATATGTTTCATCGCAATAGGCCACATACTTATGTCGTCAAAAGAATATTTCCTCGTTATAGAGTATACTACTTACGTCGACAAAAACATATTTCCTCGCTATAGTGATACAACCTATAACGGCAAAAGTAATTTTCCTCGCTATAGACCATATAACCTATATCAACAAATGTAAATTTTCTCGTAATTGAATTTCTTTGGCGAGGAATATGAGGTACAACCTACAACAAAAAATTTAAATTTCCTCGTCTTTGAGTCCCTTTACTGAGGAACTGTTTCCACGAGAAAAAGATACATATAATGAAGAAAATCAATTTCCTCGTTAATGATTTACCTTTGGCGAGGAACAATTTCCTGAAAGGTACTTACAACGACGAAAATAGTTTTTTTAGAACTTTTATTATATATAAATTAAATATTATTCACATATCATTGGCGAGGAAACTGTAGTTTAGCGATGAAAAAGGCATGAGATTAGGTGAGGAAAAATATCGAGGCTAAAGAGTAACAACGAGAAAAGAATATATTCATCGCAAAAAGGATTTCGTGAGAAATTATAATATTCCTCGCAGAAACTTTTCTTGACCACCCTACCGCGAGGAAATGGTGACCAATGTTTTTTCCTCACGAACACACTACGGTGAGGAAATCTCGACTTTCAACGACAAACTTGTTCCTCGCGGATTAGCATTTCTGTTGTAGTGATTTTAGCATTGTGATTATTTATCTTCTTTAATGTTGGCTTAAATGAGCTACAACAAATTTAATTTTTCATGTTGATAATTGAATTGACAGGAAACAAATGTAATCTGAGGCCAATTTGAATTATCATGCTATTTGGACGACATGTAATCAAGCTTGATCTTAGAATGTATAGCAGTAAAAGTGAAAAATATTTCAAAAACAACATTATAAAAGGAAGATGGATAATTAAAGCAAATAAGACAAGATGATTTGTTTAAAATGAGATAAAATGACACAAAAGAGAATATAAAGTTTGTTCCTAATCTTTGATAGACTTTAAGAAAATCATAAATTAAAGATTAATTCTAACTCTAGTACACTTTTATATGATGAAAACATCCACATAAGTATATAAAAGCACTAAAACAAGCTCATGACAATCCCTTCTAAAGATTCCTAATGTACTAACAAAAATAAACTATTCTCTAAAATATCCAGAAAATAGTGTCTTTCATTACTTTTGTTTTAATTTTATGGAGCCGATATCAATCTTTCTCCATCTTTATCTTTTTGGATAAAATTAGACTACATTTAGATGTTGAAAAGGGATAATAAACCTTAAATTAGAAGTTAAATTTATATAACTTAATAAAAGAGTATCAAACAACTACTTTTTTCATTGCTAAGTTTTGAAACTTTAGTCGTTTTTTGTGATTTTGAATTTTTGAGGGTGTGTTTTACAAAATTTAAGCTTTAAGAGTGTTTTTTAAAAAAAAATTAAATTTTAAGTTGGATGCCTGTAATTTGTATGTTTCATTTGTTAGTGATAAGTTTTTGCAACTTCAAAATTTTAAGGGTATTTTTTTGCAATTATTAATTTTTTGGATTATGTTTTGTAAAATTCAAACTTTTACTGGTCTGTTGTTATTTTCTAGATTTGATATGTACTGGTTATAGGTTTTGAAATTTTAGGGGTTTTTTGTGATTTTTTAAATTTTGAAGGAGTTTTTTTATAATTTTTATAACTTTGAGGTTGTTTTTTACAAATTTTAAAGTGCCTGATAGTCATGCTTTGAATTCATCCTTATTGTTTGCAAGTTTTAAAATTTTAGAATTTCATGGTGATTTTTTATTATTTGTTTTGTGGGTGTTTTTATAATTTTTGAAATGTTAAAGGTGTTAATTACAAATTTTAAATTATTCAGAGCTGATGTTAATTTTCAAATTTCATATTTGTTATTTTAAGTTTTCAAATGGTAAGATGTTTTGTATAATTTTAAACTTTTGAGGGTATTTTGTGTAATTTTTGAAATGCTTTGGGTTATTTTATAATATTTCATATATTATAGCATGTTAGTTTTTTTACCTTAACAATATAATATGGAGATGGCTCATTAATCTTATGTTTTTAAATTTTTTTTGAGCTGTAGGTAGTTCACATGGGATTAATTAGGATATGATATAATTATGATTAGAATAGATTAAGATTTAAATTAAATATTTAAAATAATGAAGGGTAATATTGATGAATTTTATTAATCTTATTTTTTTTATAAATTGTTTAGTTGTAGGTAGTTCATATGAGATTAAGATAGGATATATTTATGATTAGGATAGATTAAAATTTAAATTAAATATTCAAAATAGTGAAGTATAATATTGTCAATGGAAAGATTTTTATATATTTGAAAGATAAGTAAATTTCATTAATATCAAAACACTAGTACATATTTACATCAATTGGCTTGGCAACACTGAGAATCAAACTAGAGAAACTCCAGAGAGGGGAGAGGACCCTGGCCGTCACCCTCAACTAAAGAAACCAAGAAAGATACCAGTATGACCCAAAGCCAAAATCAAAAGGAAAATTAGTACTGCCTTCTACACAAACCAAAAAAAAAAGCTC